TAAGAAGGGAGTTAAGGACAGGGAAGAATTGTAGCATTTTGGATAACCACTGGATTATATTTAGCTTTAAAATGGACAACAACAACTAAAAGCACGACGGAGTTCGAAATGCTAAGTGTAATATCTGGTCATTTCTCCGTGACATTATTTCAAAAGCGAAATCTTCTAAAATGGATTTGGACATAATGGGACTTCTAACATATTGCAGTGTTGTAGGGTATCATCACATAGTCGGCCCGCACGACTATAGCCTTTGCTTACTTGTTTTATCTCAATTTATTAATATGCATGTAAGGTGGCTCACACGACATTTTTCCTTTATTTTTACTGATTATAATCAACAGCGAACCTTCCTATTTATTTTAAAATTTAATCAAGAAATAAGTTGTACTTACATTTTTCATCTTCAGTACGTATCTAAATTTTTCCGAATGATGTTGCTCACATTCAGAAAAAAATTAAAATTAATTTTCCAAAAAAAAACATACTAATTTTTGTGACTTCGAATAGAAATGATTTCCTCAACTAATTTTGTTTTAAAGCTTAACATCTATATTATAGGCCTCTGTTTATACATAATAACTATTGTTTTTAATTTTACTAAAATAATATTATATTTCCTATGAGTATTTGGTATATGTTTATTATTACTTTGCCTTCCCTATACTATATAATTACATACAGTTGTTTTTTTTTTGTTGTCAATAATCTTTAGTTAAACTACACTTTGCTGTGCTGTCTAAATGTAACATCTTTTTAATCCCGTTATAAACCATTTACATTAGAAGTATACAAACATATATTTATTGTTACGACTACTATTATTGTTGTAGTTATTTTATAATAATAACAATATTTTATTCTATCATTCATTGCATGAGTATCAATTGTTGTTTTCAACTATTTATAATATGTATATTTATATGTTTTACCTCTTTTTGTTTATTTGTATGTAAATATGTTTATGACTTATATTGTCCTATTTTGTTTTTGTTGTTGGTTGTAATGGACACGTATTGTATGTAACATTTGAATTTTGATATAAATTTCCATTTCATTGTTTTATTGTTATTGTTGTCTATATTATTTAATATTTATATATGTTAATTGTGTATGTATTCTAAATCAACAACTAATTTGTAAATAATTTGCACATTTTATTTTATATTATTTACATACATTTGATGTATAAATATGCTTTCACATTGACATTGTTAGATTATTAACAAACAATCGATGAAAAAAATAAAAATTTGTTTAATTGATTGAAGTTGCATTGAATCACATCTTCTTTTTTGGGAGGGGTAACTTGGAAATTATTGCAGAAAATGCGAGGGGTATTGATTTTATTGGGAAATATTGCAGGAAATGAATACTCTTTTATTGAAAGCTTAAATTGACTTATATGTGATCTATAATTGCCTTATCTGTGAAGTAGTTGTGGAACATATTCCATTTTACCCATAAATTTATGATTTTGACATTTTTGTGGTACCAGAAGGAATAAGCCACCCTTAATAAACCCTTGATATTCTCCTCGCTTTTACGGTGTGTATACCCTACAACACTATGTGTATATACGTTTGATTGGGCCAAAAATTACGTAACACCTCGAAAAATTGTTTTCCCACAAAGAAACGTATGTATGGATCTTCCTAACTCTCCGAGCTAAGTTGATCTAGCTATGTATGTCCGTCTGTCCATGTTAATTTGTAATCAAGCTACAGGTCGCAACTATGGCCCGATTTTCTCGAAATTAAAAATGGAGGTGAGGTTAGGGCCTGAATAGAACCCTATTGTTTTTGAGAAGATCGCACGATGTTTAGGGGTTGAAATTTATAAAAAATCCTGATTTTGCAGTTGCTCTATAGGCCACAATTATGAACCAATCGACGAGTTTGTGTTTAAAACTGGGCAGAAACCTATCCCTTTAGGCCATCGGACAATATTTAGCGGATAAAAAAGACCCTAACTTTTATGTAGGAAAATAGGAAAATTTTCGAAAAAAATTTTCTAATTTTTTAAGTTTGTAGTAGCTCTATAGACCACAATTGAAAACTAATCGACACGGAATATCGCATCAGAAGAGAGTTAAGGACAGGGAAGAAGTCTAGCATTTTAGATGACCGTTGGATTATATTTAGCTGTAAAATGGAGCACAAATTTCGTGTGAAATTGTTTTGAATACCTAACAACACTATGGAGTGCGTAAATATTGGCCAAATTCTCCAGGTCAAAAACCTAACATTGACATTATTTAAAAAAAATTTCAGAAATGGATTTGGATATAAGGGGAGTTCGAACGCATTCTAGTTTTGTAGGGTATCACATGGTCGGTCCCACACGACTTTAGCCCTGGCTTACATGTTTTTTTTTTTTTTGGTAGGAGATTCAAACAATTCTGTAGAACAATGTAGCTTAAATAGCCAAAATACCAAATGCCTGCAGATTCAAATACCATTTAAATTTATTGAAAATTTTTCTTAAGTCATTTAAGTTCCGAATTCCCTACATGACTTGCTGATTTACTTTAAATTTTGGTTGGAAATATGACTTAACCCTAAGTTATCACAAATCGGGCGAAATATGGGGGTTATACCCACCCAATCGTTGACCTTTGAGCTAAATTTTTAATATCAACAATTCCCATAAGTTCATCAACCTCTTTGGTTCCGTTCGTAACCTTGTGTGTTTTGTCCAGATCAATAATACGTATTCTTTCCGGGGTCTAAAATTCTCATTTCGAGTTATGGTAATGGTGTGGGCCGCCATAACAGGCGATGGTCACTCTCCGCTCGTATTAATCGACCGTGGCATCAGAATAAATGCCGAAAATATTCTGGAGGGTGTATTAAATCCTTGGGCACGCAAACATTTTGTCCGCAGACCTTGAACATGCCAACTCAGCACCATCGCACTCAGCACGTGCCACCCAAGAATGGTTACAAAATAAGGTTCCTCGCTTCATTTCCAGCGCACAATGGCGTATTTTGGAAAGCGAGGTTGGCACTAAAAAATACCAAAGTATCGATCACCTCAAGTAAGCGTTTTGCCTTGAATGGGCCAAAATACCACAGAGCAACATTCGGACAGCGTGTGACGGTTTCATTGGCCGTTTGAAGGCCATAATTCGTGCCAAAGGTGACCAATTCGAACAAATCTTAACTTATTCTAAAATGTCATGCTATTTCCGATATTTTTTGCTTTCATTCAATAAAAATAAAAAAACGAGTAAAAAAGCTGTAAGTTTGGCCGTACCGATCTTTAAATACCCTCCACCATGTGGTACAAATTTGGCAATCTTCAAAAAAATAAAATCCGTTAAAAATTCTGTTAAAATCTTAAAAATACAGAATGTAGCCATATATTAGGGCTATGCGAGGACGTTGACCTGCATATGCAACTTTTGTCATTAGCTATTACAATATTCAAGAGCGAAACTTTAAAAAAAAATCTGTTTATAGGGAGGTACCATAAAAACGTGTACCTGTACATAGGCTGTAGTATCCATTACGAACTTCAAATACCAAATTTGAAACAATTCCGGTAAATAATGTCGCTAAGATCATCAAAATACCGGATATCGGGAGGTACCGCTATATGGGGGCTATACGAAGACATGGACCTATATGGCCCATTTCCTGTGTTAGGCTGAAGTGTCTATTACGAACTTCAAATACCAAATTTGAAAGAATTCCGCTGAATAATGTCGCTAAAATCAAGAAAATGCCGAATATCTGGAGGTACCATTATATGGGAGCTATACGAAGACGTGGAGCTGCACAGACAATTTTTTGTCTTGGGCTGTGGTATCCATTGCGAACTTCAAATTCCAAATTTGAAACAATTCCAAATACCGAACATCGGGAGGCGCCGTAAAATGGGGCTATACGGATACGTGGACCTACATGGCCCATTTTCAAAACCAAAAGTCCTGCATAATAATATAACATAACATACATTTGATTGAATTTTTATCAACTTAATTCAATTCGTTCGAAAGCTAGAGTTATTTCCACAGACGGACAGACGGATGGACATCGCTAAATCGACATAGAATTTTATGATGATCAAGAATATATATACTTTGTGGGGTCTTAAATGTATATTTCGAGGTGTTACAAACGGAATGACAAACTTCCCTCCATATATGGTGGAGGGTATAAAAATGTAAAACTTATTGCGTTTGACTTTCTTGCAGTTTTTTATCTCACCCTGTACCTTTGTAAAATTTGTTCAAAATATCTGGGATTAAAGCTCCAAGAGAAAATCCCAAATTATTCGTTTAGGAATAAAACAGGTCAGGTCAGAATAGTAATTAAGAGAATCAAATAAAAAAGTCATTAGTCATGTCAAGTCATTTTAGTGCGGGCTATGTTTGATGTGCTTTTTAGGGATCTCTTTTGCTTTCGAATTCAATCAATAATCGACATTACATTAATTAACGTTTTGATTCCCAAAGCTTATTTATATACATAATTGTCCTGTTTACGAAAGAAGATCACCATTCCAAATTCGTTTTCAAGTCCATAATTTTACTAAAAAACTAATTAAAAAAAAAGTGTTTTAAAGGGTAATGGCGCTATCTTTCGCATTCCCTTTCAGATCGAAATACAAAAAAAAAAGAGTCCAATATTTCCCTATCAATATTTCCCAATAAAATCAAACCCAAACATTTTACAAAGTTAAATTTACAAAGCAATAAAAAATCACAATCGTTGTCATTATGCGACGTTTAACCATTTACATAACAAGAAAATAAACAAAATATTTTTTCAAAACACTTCTCTAAGTTCTTAACTTTATATAATTTTTCTTACAAAAACTACATACATGTTAATTACACTATTTTATTTTGTTTTTTGTTGTTGTTTTTAGTTGTTTTTTTACCTTAACGTTTATTAATTACCTAAAACCCCTGCATCAGGCGCATTGTCAGTTCTTATGATTCATATGTGTGTGATTTGTTTATGGTTTTGTTGTTGTCGTTCATTCATTAACTTTTCTTTTGAGTTATTGTCCTTTGCCGGTGTCTTCCTTCAATCATCTACAAACGGTGCTGTCATCGCCAGCACACGACGAATGTGAACTGGCCAAGAAGAGCTTACCACTGGAACAGGCACAAAGTTGAAAGACACGATGCGTATGATCTTTCTGTGGTGGTCCCTGTATGGATGGGACTGTGCGTAGATTTGGCATGAATATTTTCGACGACTCAAAGCGTAACTGTAAAAGAGAGAAAGGAAAGAAAACACATGGTATATTAGGATGGGTAAAGAAAGCTTTTAAAGTATTAACATGAGGAATTTTAAAGGGACATAAATTAATTTGCCAAATAAAAAAAAATCAGATTATTTTTCAGACAATTATGGCCTACGTATGACGAAAGAAAATCATCAATTGTTTATAGGTTTTCCCAATTTTTTAATATTTTTAAAATTTGAGGAAAATCCAAATTTCGAAAAAATTGTCTTTCAAGGAATTGTTTTTTTTTTTTTCATATTCATTTAGTTTCGACATACATTAATTATAAAATTGGAATAATCTTCATATTACAAATAACAATTCATACTTACACTGCCTTCCATTGTGGTTAGTTTAATATCCTCCAATGCAGATATCTCAATGCCTCCGGCCCGTGATTGTAAATTTATTTCCTGAGCTGCCTTCATTTCTAACTGTCGAGTAGGCGATTCCAATCTATAAGAAAATATGTGATTGAATGTTATAATGGGTCGTAAAATGCAATTACTTTAAATTTAAATAAATGCAAAATTAAATGTCAAATATTAAAAGAACTTATAAATTCATTGTCGAATCTAGAAATACAAAATCCAGTTTTGATATTAACTGAACCTTACTCCAGGATTAATATTATAGAAGACATTCTGGTTATGTTCTAATAATTTCTAGTATAGAACGTTATCATTTTATATAGTATGATGCCCAATAAACTTCCATGAAAAATTGATTTCCTTAGAGATTAATACCTTCTTAAAAAAAAAAAAAATATAATAAATACAGGGTGAGATAAAAAACTGCATCTAAGTCCAATACCATAATTTTTAATTTTTTCTTAAAATTTTTATTTTATGGAATGAAAACAAAAATTGTCGGAAATAGAGTAAGTTTAGATTTGTTTGAATTTGTCACCTTTGGCACGAATTATGGCCTTCAAACGACCAATGAAACCTTCACACGCTGCCCGAATATTGCTCTGCAGTATTATGGCCCATTCTCGGCGAAGCGCTTGCTTGAGGTTATCGACACTTTGGTATTTTTTAGTGCCAACCTTGCTTTCCAAAATACTCCAGACACAATAGTCCAACGGATTGGTATCCGGAGATTTTGGTGGCCATTGTGAGCTGGAAATGAAACGAGGAATCTCATTTTGTAACCATTCTTGAGTGGCGCGTGCTGAGTGCGATGGTCCTGTTAGAATCTCCAAGGTCTGCGGCCAATATGTTTGCGTACTCAAGGCTTTAATACACCCTCCAGAATATTTTCGCAATAATATTCGACATTTAGTCGATTAATACGAGCGGAGAGCGACCATCGGCTGTTATGGCGGTATGGCCCACACCATCACCATGGCCGGTGCTTGAGTTCTGGTGGACAACCGAAAGTGTACATTTTCAGCTGACCTCATTGGCAAGTAAACACGATCTTTTGTTTGTTTACAAAGTGTTGGACAACGAATGTTTTCTTATCGGAGAAAACCAAATTCGGCAGTTCACCACTTTCGGCCAATCGAAGCAACTCTCTAGCTCTTTTCAGTCTATTTTCTTTCTGTTGCGGTGTAAGTTCTTGCACTTTTTGGAATTTTAATGGCTCTTTTAAGACTCTTGATCTCTTAAACTATTTTTAATAAGATAATAATATACAGTCTGGGCCTTATAATCTTCTATGTTAGAAGTTCCTTTAAGACTTTCTGAAGACATTTAGATCTTGGAGGAATGAAAATAGTATGTTTATTTATGACAGAAGGTCTTCTGTTATTCTTTTATATAAGAGCTCCGAAAAAAACAACAACTTGTTTCACCTGACTTGAAAATCCTTTAAATTTCACCGTTCGACCTTGTTGAGATAGCAGAAGGATACATTTATGTCTGATTCTATAAAGGATACATGCATGTCTTTAATAAAAGAGACCTGTAGGGTACCTATTATAGTGGAACATTGGGTTTTCTATGAGAAAACACATGGTGTTTTCTACAACAGAAATCCTTTAAATCTACAACAGAAATATAAAAATCAAAATACCATATTTTCTTCTATGACAGCAGAATATCTGGTTTTCCAGAAAGCAAAAACATGGGCATCCAACGACAGAAGCCCACTAGTTTTTATGAAAGAATAATTTCAAGTAATCTATGAAATAACACATTACGTCTTTTATGTAGGGAGAGATGCCTTGTGGCCTGTGATGATCTTTCGATCTTTTATTGTAGAAGACCTTCAGGTCTCCTATGACGGATGAACTTCGGATTTTTAGTTTAGGAGACCTTTTGTGTCTCCAAATTCAAATGATCTTTTGCTTTCTATAATATATGGAATATTCTTCTGCCGAAAACAGGAATCATAGTTTTTCTAGTGAATTAAAATGAGATGTCTCCCATATTATGATGGTACAACTTTTTATAGAAACACATTCTGTGTCGATTTATTTATGTCCGTACGCCCAGTAAAGCCACACTTCATTTGTTCAGTCCAAATACAAACACTTTCAAAATTGGTAATATTTGGTACAGATTAAAATATAGCTCCATATAAATCTTCGCCCGATTTTATGTTTATTGACCCAAATGTTGCCGAGATCTGCTTAGATGACAATATAATCCCGATACTTCTCCGTCAGATTTCCAGATTATAATGCACTAAATGTGCAGTGTCAGGCTAAATTAGTTGAATTTTAAGCAAATACGACCAAATCCAGACAAGCTCATCGAATTTGGTGAAAATCGATTCGGATATAACTATTTGTGCTCTGATATCCGATACAAGATATCAGGTGCATAAATGCCTTTGTTAAATTTTGTCGACATCGGCTCAAATGTAAATGTAGCTCCTAGATATTTTGTCTCTGGTTTAATATTAAGAATAGTTATGTCACTGCCATTTTAGTGCCAAATTAGTGACACATCCAACTGGTCAGCCAAAGCACACCTCTGTAAAAAGTTCATTCATTTAAATCAGAAAATGAGAAAGAGGGGTTGAAAATGGCTTTCATTCATTCAGAGGAACGTGTAAACAAATACAATCCATATTTGTCACTTAAATCCTTTGAGCACTTTTTAATAAACTCTATATTTCATGTGGATGCATTTACACCCATACATACACAAACTTACTCTACACACACACATATACAAATTCAGTTACATGCACTTTTGCAATGTGTCCGAATCTATCCCATTGAAAAGGCATTAAACCCAGGGAACGAGAGCGATGGTATGTGATGGTAAATGTTATTCTCTGCTCTGAATGTCCGGGTGGCTGGAAGGATGACTGGCTCTGACTATTGTAAACAACAAAACAAACATTGCACGACTTATACAGTGCAGCACACACACGCAGACACTAACAACCTGTCGGAAGAGATATTCATTCATTCATTCATTGATGGCATAAAATAGGTACAGAGACCGAAATTTGAATGGTATGGCAGGTTAAATAAGTTTGGAGGAAAAATGTCGGGGAAAAGTCCATTACAGATGGTAGACATACTGTTGTCCAGATTTGTTTGTTGTCGTTCACCGCTGTTGATCCACATTCCATAAACACATCTCTCACAACATGAATTAATAAGTGTTTATTTAATGCATATTGCTTGTTGTCGTTGTTGTAGCTGTAGCTGTAGTTGTAGTTGTTTTATTTTTGTAGGCCATCAAACCAGACAAACAGGGTACGGAAATGATGTTTTGTTGTATTTCAAAGAAAGAGTTGAAGAATTGGCTGGACATCTAAGAAAATGTATTCCTGTCTGCGTTGTTCAAATAAATACTTGAAATATTAAAGCTTTTTTAAAGGATTTGAGTGAGTTCTAAAGAGGCAATAGAATATTCTAAAAATAAAAGATGTCTGGGTTCTAAAAGATTACTTCAGATTTATTATTATTTCCTACATAAGTATGCTACATTAATCCATAATTAAAGTAAATGTATGTACCTATGTTATCCTTTAATATCCTTATTAAGAGTAATCAGTTTAAAATAACTTTAATCGATTTCAATTGAAAGACTCAGTAGAAATTTAATATAATTTTCTTAATTTCACAACAAAAAAAAAGAAAACAGTAAAAAAAGTCTTAAAGTCGGGCGGGCCGACTTTATGATATCCTACACCACTTTGCTAATTTAGTAGAGCTCCACATAGCAATTAAAATTTTTTACGGGAGAATTCAATCATACACCCTATGATTATAATTATAATTTAAAGTTCAAAAGACTAAATATGCCGAAGCATTTGTATCTTTTAAATTCGGACTTGTATTGCCCATTTGATATATATGGGAGCTATATCCAAATCGGAACCTATCTTGATAAAATTTGGCAAAGATATTTCCGAGCTGTATTTCATATATTTCCCTAAATATCGTTGTTACGGAGTGCACATTACGGCTGTGGGTAACAAATATGACAAATCGGATGGCTATAGCTGAACCGATCTTCACTAAATTTGACATACTAGCTTCTAGACTCAATTCGGTCATAAGTGCCAAATTTCCTCCCATTTGGGAAAATATTAGACGTTTGGTGCACAATAAAAGGTAAATCGGACGAAGTTATATATGGGAGGTATATCCAAATCCAAACCGATCTTGATAAAATTTAGCAAAGGTATTTCTGAGCTGTATTTGATATATTCCCCAAATATTGTTGTTACAGAGTGCATATTACGGCTGCGAAGGACTAAAATAACAAATCGGATGAACAATATATATTGGAGCTTTATCTATATCTGAACCGATTTCGATCAAATTTGGCATACTTATTTTCAGGCCTAATTTGGTTGTATGTGCAAAATTCCATACTATTTGGGCTGATATTACACGTTTGGTGCACAATAAAAGGCAAATCGGACGAAAATATAGATGGGAGCTATATCTAAATTTTGACCGATTATCTCCAATTTCAATAGGGTTCGTCCTTGGGCCAAACAAATGTTTTGTGCAAAATTTCATCTGGATGGGGTAATAAATGCGAACTGTACTTTGTTCACAAAAATACATGGACAGACGGACATGCATAAATCGACTCGGAATGTGTTTCTATGCAGATCATCAAAAGGAACTATGGGTCTATCTCGTTTCCTTTTGCCTGTTACAAACAAATGCACAAAGACATAATACCCTGACCACCTTGTGATGTAGGGTATAAAAAACAAGTAACAAGTAAAAAGGCAGTAAGTTCGACCGGGCCGAACTTTTAATACCCTCCACCATTTGGAACGAATTAGAAAATTTTCAAAAAAATAAAATCATCATCACTTTATATGGAGGATATATGACATCGTGGAGCTTTATAGAAAATTCTCTTTCAGGGGGTAAAGTACTCATAAGGAATTCCTTGTGTGGAATTTCAGGTAATTCCATTCAAAAATGTGGCTAAAATCATTAAAATACCGAATATCGGGGGTACCGTTATATGCGGGCTATACGATATCGTGGAGCTTTAAAGAAAATTCTCTTTCAGGGGGTAAAGTACTCACAAGGGACTCATTGTGTGGAATTTCAGATAATTCCATTGAAAAATGTGGCTAAAATCATCAAAATACCGAATATCGGGGGGGTACCGTCCTATGGGGGCTATACGATATCGTGGACCGATATAGCCAATCTTCGAACTTGACCTGCCTGCAGACAAAAGACAGATCTGTGCAAAATTTTAGCTTCCTATCTTAATTCGTTTTGACTGTAGCGTGATTACAACCGACGGACAGACGGACGGACAGGGCTAAATCGTCTTAGAATTTTACGCTGATCAAGAATATATATACTTTTTTGGGTCTAAAATAATTATTTCAATGAGTTGCAAACGGAATGACGGATTTAATATACCCTCCATACTATGTATGGTGGAGGGTATAAAAAATTAGCTAAGTTCTGCCGGGCCAATTTTTTAATACCCTCCACCATTTGGGAGCAATTAAAAAAGTTAAAAAAAAAAATCTAAACTACCACTTAAATGAAAACCGTTTATGGGGCATACGATTTTTTTTGCACATAGGCTGTAGTACCCATTAAGATCTTCCAATACGAAATTTGAAACGATTCCGGTGAATAATGTTGCTGAAATCATCAAAATACCGAATACCGTTATATGGTGGCTATACGAAGACGTGGACCAGCATGCAAATTTTTTTTTCATATTTTGAAATAATTCCGGTAAAAAATTTCGCTAAAATCATCAAAATACCGAATATATGGGGCTATAAGAAAACGTGGACCGACATGGCTCACTTGCGAACTTAAACTGCCTACTGGTAAACTATGCATGTATGCAAAATTTTAGCCTTCTATCTCAATTCGTTCGAAAGATAGCGGGACGGACCGAAAGACAGGCAGACATCGCTCGATCGTCTTTGAATTTTACGCTGATCCAGAATATATATACTTTGTAGTTTTTTTTTATGAATATTTCGAGGAGTTTTAAACGGAATGCCAAAGCTAATATGGTGAAGGGTATAAAAACTGCATTTATTGAAAATTTCTAACCCTGACCTTAAATGCATTTTCAATAAATATTTCCCATATCTTTTCCATGTCAAAACTTGAAAGAAAATCATGCCACAACAACGACATACATAAATAAATACTCGACCCACAAAAAATTGAGATATACCAAACGACACCCAAAAACGAAATGCTATTGACTTACCTTAATTCACGTCCCGGTTCGGCACGTACATGCGGTGTCTGTATCGATTCACGGAAAATCGCACCACCTTCGCCGTCCACACGCAGGGCATGGGCTCCGATTGTGACTTCATCTCGATTAACGGAAAATAAATTTCTTCCGTTTGTATCATTGATGCGAAATGATGTCGCCATGCACTCGAGCTTATCGTGTCCCAGAAATAAATGATTTTCCAGCAGACCATCGACGCCGCGTGTATTGATTGAAAAATTACGTGATGTTTCTATCCAACACACACACACACACACGAATGGGGAATACATGAAATAAACAAATAAACAGATGAAATCGTAGATAGGTATAAGAAAATTCTCAATTCAAAGTCAAGTTAAAATGGTGTGTATGTACGTATGTATATTATGTTTGCAATATAAAGTAGGATTTAAGTTGAATAAGTTTAGAGCAGACTATACCACATATCCAAAAGAACTACTTTATATTAATGTAAATAAAATTCAAGTCAAACTATACAGAATATTTTAGTCCGAAAGTTTAGTGGTCCGATAAATACAGGATGAGATGAAAAAACGGGAACCAAAATCTCCGGATACCAATCCTGGACTATTGTGTCTGGAGTATTTTGGAAAGCAAGGTTGGCACTAAAAAATACCAAAGTGTCCATCGCCTCAAGCAAGCGTTTCGCCGGGAATGGGCCAAGATACCGGTGACGGTTTCATTGGTCGTTTGAAGGCCATAATTCGTGCCAAAGGTGACCAATTCGAACAAATCTAAACTTATTCTAAAATTTAATGCTATTTCCGACATTTTTGGCTTTCATGCAATGAAATTAAAAAAGAAAATGTAAAAATTATGACATTCGAATTTGTTGCAGTTTTTTATCTCACCCTGTATAATGCGATTTCTGGGGGTACTGAAAGGATTGAATCGACATCTTCACACCAAACAAAATATGAGCAGAAATATTGAAATGTGTGAAGCTTTCAGAAAATCTGCAAATATTTCATATTTTTATAATTATTATTCAAAAATTAGCTTTTGTGACGCTTAGCGGGAAGTTACAATAAATAGTGGACCTCGATTTTCATACCTGACATAGGTCTGAAATAAATATTATGATGTGCAATATTTTTCTATATTAGTAGTTTTTTTTTTGTGAGAATTTTCCTAAGGACCATCAGTGCTATAATCGCCAAGTTTTAAACTATATGTTTCCAAGGGCTATATGAGCTACCAGCAAGTACCCGCTACTTCGTCTGCGAAAAGTTCAACTACAAAGTTGGGCCTTTTTATACCCTCCTGATCAGCATAAAATTCTAGGTCGATTTAACGGTGTCCGTCTGACGTCCGTACTTGAGGAAGAGCTTCAACATTTGGCGGAACAATTTGTATTATGTCTAGAATGGTTGGTATTGAAATGAGATATATCGGTCTACGTTCTGGTATAGCCGCCATATAACGGATCCTCCCGATATTCGGTATTTTGATGATTTTAGCGACATTATTCACCGGAATTGTTTCAAATTTGGAATTTGAAGTACGTAATGGATACTACTAGCCTAAGACGGAAAATTGTCTGAGCAGGTCCACCATTTCGTATAGCCCCCATATAAGGGTACCTCCCGATATTCGGTATTTTGATGATTTTAGCGACATTATTCACCGGAATTGTTTAAAATTTGATATTTGAAATTCGAAATGGATACTGCAGCCTAAGACAGAAAAATATCTGTGCAGGTCCACGTCTTCGTGGACCCCTCATATAAGGGTACCTCCCGATATTCGGTATTTTGATGATTTTAGCGACATTATTCACCGGAATTGTTTGAAATTTGATATTTGAAGTTCGAAATGGATACTACAGTCTAAGACAGAAAATTATCTGTGCAGGTCCACGTCTTTGTGTAGCCCCCATATAAGGGTACCTCCCGATATTCGGTATTTTGATGATTTTAGCGACATTATTTACCGGAATTGTTTCAAATTTGGCAGTTAAAGTTGGAAATGGATATTACAGCCTGTGACAGAAAATTGTCTGTGCAGGTCCACGTCTTCGTATAGCTCCCATATAAGGGTACCTCCCGATATTCGGTATTTTGATGATTTTAGCGACATTATTCACCGGAATTGTTTCAAATTTGGCAGTTGAAGTTCGCAATGGATATTACAGCCTGTGACAGAAAATTGTCTGTGCAGGTCCTCGTCTTCGTATAGCCCCCATATAAGGGTGCCTCCCGATATTCGGTATTTTGATGATTTTAGCGTCATTATTCACCGGAATTGTATCAAGTTACGTATTTAGAGTTGGTAATGGGAACTTCAGTATGTGACAAAAAATTGTCTATGCAGGTCCAGGTCTTCCGATATGCCCCATATATCAGTACCTCCCTATTTTTGGTATTTTGACGAATTTAGGTAAAAATCCATCGAAATTGTTTGAGATGTCGTATTTGAAGTTCGTAATGAATGCTACAGCCTGTGACAGAAAATTGTCTATTATTATTGGTACCTCCCTATATACGGTATTTTGATGATTTTAGCTTCATTATTTGCCGTTTATTTCAAGTTTCGAATTTAAGCCATTACCATGCTTATAACAAACAAAGATTCACTTCATAGAGACCATAATATAATAGCTATATTCGGTATTTGTAAGGTTTTCACACAATTTTTAACGGGTTTTATTTTTTGAAAATATCCAAATTCGTTCCAAATGTTGGAAGGTATTCAAAGTTCGGCAATGGCTTATAACAAACAAAGGTTCACTTCATATTCGGTATTAGTAAGGTTTTCACACAATTTTTAACGGGTTTTATTTTTTGAAAATTTCCAAATTCGTTCCAAATGGTGGATGGTGTTCAAAGTTCGGCTACTGCTTTTTAACTTATTTAATTTTCAAGTATATAGGTGTCTATAGACCTGACACATCTTTCCCCAATGACCAGAATGTCCATTCATTTCTACTTTATGCGGCATATTAATGCTCTCTTGCTCCAATTATTGTCGTTCATTTGGTTAATTTGAAATTAGGCTTGAGTAACTCTGACAAATTTGCATAAGACATTTTTCATTATATTCTTCCCCAAGTGTCACTAAAATCCAGATCATTTCCCGAAAATCTTTCCACAATATTCATACCACTACCATACCGTTTGTGTGTGTACTCTAAGGCACATCACCGTATCAGGTTGCAATCCATTGGATCCACATGTCACCTGTAGTTGTGGTACGTCTTTGGTTTTGGTGTTTTGTTGTACGTGGATATGTGGTAAATTCTTTAGAGGTTTTATCTTCATTCCGCCCGGACACATGTTTGCTGCGACCATGCCATGCGACACAAGGTAATATTTTAAGATTAGTTATTTTTGATAAACGAGAACGAAAAAAACACGAAACGTTAACAACGGAAATAGAATTTGCTGTCCTACACATCATTGCATACAAGCCAAGCTATCCCCACCGTTGTCCCTGTGCATTAACTGGAGGAGGAGCAAATGCTCACTCCCCTCCAGAGTTCTGTTTTGTGGTTTTGTCTTCTTATCATTCAAGTTGTCTTTTTCTTCTGTTGCCATTTTCAGGTTCGGATTTCATTCCGGTGTCATTTTCACTCTTGTGAAATACTCCTCATGTACGAATTACATCTATCATTGAACTTTATCTGAAATTGTGCATCTCACACACACACACACACACACCTCTCACCCTCCACGCTAGTATTAAATCCCGCCATGTCTTCAACAACATTTGTACAGCGTGGCGAATTCGGAATTCGGTTTTGAGGTTCATGGTCGTTCTGTATATTTTTGTGAAGTGATTTATTGCATCGAGTGTTTGTATCGCAATGGTCGAGTCGAATATTTATGCGTTGAGTTGATGAATGATGTGGAACATTTGTTTATGGCAATTTGATTTTGTGTGAAATATTCACAGACAAAAAACCAACATTAAATTAAGCGTTCATAATTTTTTTAATATTTGAGTTTTTTACAAAGGTTTTAATTATAAAAAATAATACAAAGAAAAAATTTACCTTGAGTCAGAAAGGAAATGCATTTTCGAGGTGATGGTGCTTAAGACATTTATTTCGGATTTAGTCTGTTTTGAAATACAACAACAATCTGTTACTAGGGGACTTCAAACCTTACATTTTTTACTACAGGGAAAACTAATTGGCTGGAATTGATGGAGAAAATCAACCGCTTATTGCTCGACATAACAGTGTCAATGTGTCAATGCAATCCCATACAACATTTCATAAAAAGTACCATGCTTTGGTGAGAGGGCAGATAACCAATTGGAATTCTTTGGATGGCTCATATTGTATTGGAATAATGATAAAACTACCTCTCACAGGATTAAAACCAATTAAAAATAAGGGAGAAATATACGTTGGGGCTATACCCAAATCTTAACCGATTTCTATAAAACTTGCCAAATCAATTTCTAGGCTGTATCTGATATCTTGTGCCCAATATAATTTTAGTGGAGTGAAGATTACATCTTTGGGGGACTTACATATCTTTATGGGCTCTGAAAAATTAAGAATACTTAGAGAGAATGAGAAATGATTAAAAATCAATCGTCTGGTATCTCTAGTGTTTAAGTCTTAGAATTTTTTAAGAAATCCACGATTTAGTGAACTTCTAAATCTTAGAAAAAAAATTAAAAATTAAATAAAAAAATATTTAAATATAACTCTTGAACAATTTAAACAATTCGTTGAAATATTCACGACCTTAACGGAGGTTCAGCTAAATCCTCATTACATTTAGATAACTTTAAAAATTTGCTTAAAATACACAATTTATGACTTTTTGAGAAGCTCCCGGCTAGAAAAACTACCATTTCGGAATAAATGATCTTAATAAAAAGGCCACAATGTAATACATTGAAAGGATGAAAAAAGAGGCTTACTAATAAAAAATCAGGAATATGACCTTTGGAAATATTAAACAAGTAAGCGGGGCCGACCATGTGATACCCTACAACACTACAATATGTTAGAAGACTCTTTATGTCCAAATCCATTTTGGAAGATTTCGCTTTTGAAATTATGTCACGGAGCACTGCTTAGATATTACCATTAGCTTTTTGACCAGGGACATTTGTCCAATATTTACGCACTCCGTCGTGCTCTTAGTTGTTGTGATCCATTTTACAGCTAAATATAATCCAATGGTCATTCAAAATTCTAGAATTCCTCCCTGTCCTTACCTCTGTTCTCAGGGGTGCCGATTTGTTTCAATCGTGTGATCAGGAAAATTT